CAATTACCTCCTAGCGCCTTTGTTATTTACGATCTAGCCTTGACTTTTTGTTATGTTTCATTCGACAAGAAGGTTAAGTTGTGTGATTATAAGGAGATGAATTTGGTCCACTTCTTGCTATTAGATTACGACCGCTACCCAGCAGAGTTGCGATTAAGTAAAAGATCACGGTTTTTCTTTGCTTTGATATCATTCTTAGCAAACTTTCCGCGACCGGTAATAATGTTGGATTCACATTCAATGATGTATCTGTAGAGAAAAGGAGATACATCTCTGAAGGCATTTGATAGTCTATACTCTCGCTCAGCGAAAAAGCGAAATAACATATTAAAAAGGGGGAATTTCATTAATTCGATATTTTTTGGGCAAAGTCCCTTTGCTCCAAGAAGGAGGAGAGCCCTTGATGTTGGCATTGAGGAACGTTGATGGTAGCTAACATAGTAGCCTCAGCCGCGATGAATTCTCTGAATACTTTTTTCCCTTAATAATCGCCTTTGTGATATTAAACGATGTTCTTTCGGACGCAGCGAGGTTGGCTTACAGAAAAAATCACTCCCAGTTCGGAGCTAATTCTGAGGGTGTAGAGCTTTCAAAGCAAAAGGAGAATCCGAAGTGTTATTTACGCACAGCAAATTTCTCACAGGGAGTGGGAGCGGCCGGCGTAGTCGGGCGAACCCATAAGAAGGAGAGAAGCCCACGTTAGCCGGGCGGCCCGACTGGTAATCTAATAGCCAGGAACGAACAAACATCTTATCTGTTAATTGCATTGCCTCTAATCGGTCCCTATCACCCTGCTGTACCATCCCGTATTATGGAATGAAACATGCCTAACAGGCGAAGCTACATCGTAATTACCGAAGGCATTGATATTGTGATTGGTAGGTGGCTCTTGCTCTCTTAAATCCCCTATCTAATATAAATTGTTATCATCTACTGTCAACGAGTATGTAGCTACTATCTACGTCACATCACACATCACAAATCAAAATGCCGACGTTCCATTCTTAATACGACAGGCTTGACAGAAGGAGCCTTCTTGGCTCGTCATCAGCCTATCAGCTGTTATCACTCCTTGTCCCGTCATCCTTCATTGTGCCAAACCTCAACTGTTGATACGAAGGTCTTAGTGGCTCTTGCCTTCTATGACTCGTCATGCTATCTCATCAGCTGTTATCAGTCGATTATCTGTGATCCCTTCATATCCCACAACACCTACTAGCTGCGCTGTTAAAACGAAGGACGTCATTGATCGTCGATTTAGTAGCCTCGCCTTCTATAGATCTTTATCAGTCCCTAAACAAACATCTTTGGTCCCTTTAATTCCCACACCACATGTTAAAGTGCCAAGACTCTATCGTTAACAAGAACGAGGTAACGGACCCTACGGCTCTCGCCTCCTAAGGTTCCTTGTCAGCCCCTACCAATTGTTATCACTTCCATCCCTACCATCGATGTTCCATCTTGCCCCCTGTATCTCTTCCAAATTGGAGCGCTAAAGGTGCAGGGGACAGGAGTTATGAATTTCGGGCCGAAAATCTATACCGCGCACGCCCCGCCCTGTAGGCGGAGTCCGGCTTGGCTATCACTCAACAAACTTGATACACTCGCCTCAGAGACTTAGGCTTCGACGAGGCGGTTTCAAAAGAACCATAGCTGCCTAAACTCTTACCGAATCCCAACTTCTAGGTCCACGGGAACAGAAGTCGTGAATTTCCCGTAAAACACACACACTCAAACACACCAACAAAGCAACAGACACACTTAGCGAATTAAATATATATAGCAGGATGATAGTTGGATTATAGAGCTACTTGTTCTATTTTGAAGTTCTGCTTGTACTCAACAACCTTGATACACCCATCTCAGAAAACCTAGGCTTCGACGGGGCGATTTTGAGAGAACCATATTTCATTTATTTTATAACAATAATTACAACAAACGATACAATCTCCGTTTTCCGCATGTGTATAAATGGGAAACGAAGCGAAAAATTGCTTGGGGACTGTAATGGTGGGCATAGCAACCACTAACTATATCTATGAAACTATATCACAAAAACGCGCTCTCGAAAGTGCTTGGAAAACAACTTGAAAGCACAGGCGACGACTTGTCACAATGCCATGAGGAAGAGCTTCCCTCAAAAGTGGGCATATACGAAAAAGAAAAGCAAGGCACATGACATGCTCGTCGTCGCCGTTGCCGAATTTCACGCTATAAGCATCTTCAATTTGAAGATTGTAGAGCAGCAAAATTCCGACCTCAGCTGTAAGCTTTCGTGACATGATTTCCACCCGTCGCTGGATGCACTCGTGAAAAAGGAAATCTAGCAAGACCTCGTGAAACGTTACCTATGAAAGCTCAAAATTTGGTCTCGGTTTCATCGACGTTTTAGATCGCCGACCTTAGGCCACGACTGCACGTCGGCGACGGGCCTACAATGTTCGCTCGGCCGATATCGTGTACATATACTGCTCTTATCCCCTACGGGTGTGTTTCAAAAGCCCGAGCTCCTTGATTGCTTTGTATTGATCTGGAATTTCCATGAGGGCATTCAGTGCGAACGATGCTTCCGGATTCGGCGCATTGAACATCACCTGAAAACAAATATAGTCACTAAATCATCCTTTAGTTCCTTAGAATAGAGCAAGCGAAAAAGTGAGATTTTTCCCTAGGATGAACCTGTGATACCCAAGGGTAGCAAGAGGGACACTGTTGGGTGGAGAAAGGGTTTAGATAGGGTGTGAAAAGAGCCCCAAAACTCGCTTCGCCGACGTAAACGTCCAAGGTGGACGAATTCTCCCGGCATCGTAGAGGCTATAGAGATTGCACCACTTGCACCGGGGTGCGGGAACTTCACTACGATTCAGGCCTTGCGCCAAGTTGCGAGGTGACCTAGTCTTAGGTGTGAAAAATTGATATCATTTTGCTGCCCTCATATCGATATGCAGCAAGTCAAAGGGGATTGAGAAAAAGAATAACATTGGTGACAAAGTAAAGCTCCTGTAGGATGCACGGTTTTCAGGACAAAATCACTCAAACCGGCCGAGAGTTTTAATTTTGTGCTAAACTAAGTCTAATTGTGGTTGATAGCTCTGTAAGAAAAAGGCCAGTATTCCGCTCAGCTGTACACAAAAAGGACTCCCAACCAGCATTATGAAGTTTTTTCCAATGTAAATCATATTCTTAAGATGCATTACTTTCCTACGGATGTAATTCTCTTCACTTATTTACACACTATATTTTACTCGCTCAATAGCAAAATGCAGACAGCCTAAGGACCATGGAGACTTCAGACCTAATTGGGATCAGCTCGCACCGAGCGACCTCTGTCGTGCAGAAGTTTTCATAAGCTTCACAACTTCACACGTTGCATGCAAAGAGCTCACTGTAGACAGCTGTACGTAATGACACACGCGTACAGCTCGTAAAATTACTACCTCCATGGGGTGTGTGCCGATTCGTGCGATTCTGGGTTCGCACGGCAAAGTGCGCGTGAAGATTCGAACGATTCTGACGCCTATTATTGGGGCACAAACTTGAAGTAGAATAGTTGGNTATGGTGAGCTGATCCTACTAATCCACTCTACTTCAAGTTTGTGCTCCAATAGTAGGCACCAGAGTCGTTCGAATCATCATGAATTCCGCCGCGCAGTTTGTCGCGCGACCCAGAATCGCACGAATCCCTCCATGCCATAATTGCCGTCAAATTCTCGCTCAACCCTTAATTTTACTTCTTTGTTTAAGCCTCATATTTTTCTGAAGATGCCGATTTCCGCGTTTTCTTCGCCACTTCTGTTGGTGTGTAAGGGTGTCCCTTTGTCGCTGGTGTTTGGTACTGCCCCCGGCGAATAATCTCATGATAATTCAAGCAAATCAAACCTTATGAAAGTCGACAAAATGGAAATTGTCGAATAATCGTTTTGGAATGTTTTCGTCAAATCGTCCCATCATGTTCCACGGACCATCACCCACGCCTACCCTGAAGACGCAAAAGTTCCTCGAGAAAAGACATATCCTTATAGACTTCAACCAAGAAATTTCAACTAACATGATAATACTGAGCGGGTAGTGTGATGCGGCAGCGATCGCCTTCTGGTTGATCTTCTCATTCGTCACTTGACCGTCAGCGACAATCACAAGAATGTGATACGAGTGCTTCTCTCTGCAGATTTCAACAGCGCGTTCTGAAAGCATGTTTCCTTCCACAGTAGACATCTTTTAAGACATCGAAATGATTGGTAAACTCCAACAATTGCATTTTGAATGATCAAACAATCAAAAACAAAGTGCAGAGTTCCAAACCTACCGATCAAGGGAACGAAGTTTGTCGGTCCACTCATGGCTACTTTTGGCGTAACTTCATTGTAGATTCTTAGCACCTCTGAAGAAAAGTGATCTGAGATGGACGGACACTCATGAGAAGATTGACATTTCGAAAAATAAGGCGAAGTTCGCTTAGAGGCATTAGTCGGAACAATGGTGCAGCTTATGGGATTTGAGTATGAGATATTAGAAGAAAAGGATATCAGGCATGTAGACTGAAGTGCTGGGGAGCAAATCCTCTTGTCATTCACCTTCAAATCCATTACAGTCCTTGTCGAGGTTATACCGATCGGCAATATTGAAAATGCCCTTGTCAGTAAACTCTTCGTCACCAAATCCATAAGCTGGGATCATACCATCCGCATCGAATGACGACAGCGTCTTACCGACTATTTCTATCACCTATAATATAGTTAACTTTTCACATGCAGTATCAGGAAGTTCTCAATGAATTCTCAAACTTCACTGAAAAAAAGTGGTCCCCAGAAAAGCTTTATGATAAGAATTTCGAGTTTGGTACCTGTTGGTAGGGATTCATTTCATGTGGACTCAGGTCGTGTAGCGTTCGGCCGTCAAAGGTCCGTTCGCCCTGATAACAGTTCGACTTGGTGTAGTCAATACCGAATATCAGATTCGAATATTCGAGGCCGGCCTGAAATGTTTATGTTGGCAACAATACAAAGACTCACTCTACGAAATTGCAAGTACTATAGTTCAGTCTAGAATTTGAACTTTCCGAAGGCACTTCGGATTGCAAAACGTATGTCTTACATGCTTGATGGCACGAATAATGTCCTGCAAAGTTTTGAAGTGTGGAATGTTGTGAGGACTACCGACAGCGAGAGCTTGCAGAAGACTGTTCCGCCGCATAGGAGCGCTTAAACATAATATGTTATCCTGTGTCGCGGTCTACCTTCCAAGAAAGGCTCGAACTCACAATGAAGGAGCTTCATTACGCTTCATTTCGCGATGGCGATGCTCGCGTTCCTTTTTCATCGGCTTCTTGATTATTGACGGCTTCTGGAACGCTGGTTCAACAGTCATTGTCATGTTCATGTCAAGACTGTGGTCGATCATCTCCATTGTCTTCTCAGTGACTTCTGAGGCGAAGCTCACTCTGAACATAAAAATGCTTTCCAGCTCAGTAACCATAAGTCAGATTTGTTGAACATACGTTTGGTCAGGTTCCAAGTTTAGCTAAGCTTAAAGCGTTATTGATATAAGTTCTGAAAAACTATTGACTATCTAGACTCCTATTGACTGTCTAACTATCTAGAACAGCAACTTCTATGTGAGGCTAGTGCTAATATTCAATTTTCTAGTTCAAACCATAATTTAAAGTTACTTATAAATGTCCTGATCCGGCAATCTGAAATGTTTAGATTAATGTTCTTTTAGGGAACAGTTTTGAACTTTTCTCTAACGTTTCGTTCTTCATTTCTCCTAAGGCGGTGCAGAGTATTCCTTCAAAGTTCTTTGACCTATGCATGATTCCTGCTGGTGCGATCAGGTTTTCTGAAAGCTACCGGATTGAAGAGTGGGATTATCCAAAATTTCGTTACGCCAAGTTATGGCAATGGCCGGAAAGAGGGGGAGTAGAAAGGATTCTCGGAGCTACAGTAGTGCTCAAAAGTCTTTGGCCAAATGCTTTTTCAGCCGCTTTTCTCAGTCGTGTTTCCTTCCCTACTGAATCGATTCATGCGAGATTTCAATATGTGTAGCGTGGATGTGTTATGAATATTCCCCACTATTAACCTGCAATCGGATCATGTTCCAAATATCCCAAAAGAGCTTGACTTCAAAA